TTTTTAGTCCCCGCCCCCAAACACACACACAAACGCGTGCGTTAATACATACATGACAGCTCATACTTCGTGTGTAATCTATTTGAACAATCAATCGCATGACAGCTCTTTATAATTTTAGATGTGTTTTTTGCGGCACTAAAGCTGAACGCTGCCACTCAGTTTCTTGCCACTCAGTGGGTGTGAATACAGTGACTTCTGCCTGCGGTGACGTCATACGCATACCCTTTGCAGCACGAGGAACATCAGATAAGAACATGACGATCTGGGAGTATTTTACACTTTTAACAGCAACTAGTAGCACAGTGATTTGCAATCTACATAAAAATAAAGTTCTGAGAGGTGGGAATAGCGTTTAGCGGAAAATCCCGCTAAACAAAATACACGCAATTGTGTGAGACGACGCGAGTAATATGGAAAAAGCAATGGATGGTTTGGGAGTCGCCAGCTTGGGCTGCTTTGCGCTCCCGGTACAGCCTGTGATACACGGGGGGCTGCGATCGCAACAAAGTCACATTATTGCCAGTAGGAGAAAAAATTGTGGGGTATTTTAAGCATTTGCCACTTGCGTATGCTTGCTTGGAAGATATCAATATTGAAGTGCAAATTCTCAAAAACGCTTAAAACAAGATGTACAAACAAGGTGGAACTTTGTAACTTAAAAATATTAATATATAAAGTATAAATATATTATAGATTTATTATATTAAAATATAAAAGTAAGTAGAGCTCTTCAATTGGAATCTGTATCAGTATCCGCAGTTGTGTATCAGCATCAGATCGGAACTGAACATCCCTAATTTCTTCATTTATCTGACACTTTTATCCGAAGTGATTTACAGTACATGGAAGAGTTACAATTTATATGTGCCCACAAGGATTTGTGTTGTTAGCATGTTGTGCTACAAAATGAAATGATGATTTATTTTCCTTTTGTATATTTTAATATTTGTCTCAATCACCCCATCTTACTCTCCTTTTTTAAAGACATTCCCCACACATAGAGGTGAGAATGAAGCCGGACACCAGATCTCAGGGCCGGTGCTCCATCCAGTCTTCCCCTTCAAGAGCCAGCAGAGATGTCGCTACTCTGCCGAGCACCAGAGTCGAACCTGCACCCATCTCATCCAAAGTATAGAGGCCTAAACTGTTGAGTCACTCAGTTAGATCTAATAGCAAATAAAAGAAACTTTGAAAACAAGGTTTATTGTTTCGAGTTTACTGTGTTTTAGAACATAATTATAAATACATGCAAATGACCACAAATGGATATTCCAGTAATTCTCATTTACTTTTGATCGAGCTGTTGACAGTCACATATCTGGTTTGCAGATTCAACACTGATTATACTCACTTGTCTGACATGCAGCCCTGATGGTGACTTCTCTCTCTTCTGAGCTGTCGCCTTCCCTCGGCAAAAAGATGGAGACCAAATCAATCAATGCAGGACCATTTATTACCTTACAATTCAGCAAGATCTATGGGCACACAAACCTAAAAAAAAACGTTTTAAAATATGTGTTGTGTTTTCAACCTGCGATGTGTGACACGGGGTGCTGGCGCTCTGCCTGACTGCTACTTAAAGGATTGTCATTTGGGGAAAAATAAATTTCTCTAACAAGGCAAAAGTCAATGTTTTCATGTTTTACTACAATCAAACTGATGCAGCTGACAATTTAATGTCTCATCACTTAAGCTCTCTGCGGATAATAGAAGTAAAACCCACACAAATCATAAATACATCCTGGTGGTGCATTTGTTCAGCATTTATTTACTTCAGATTGCTCCCGTGCTGGTTCAGTTGCACAGGATCCCCCTCGTTTGGTTGTGGAAGCCTATCAGCTGACAATGGACACTTTCCCGGAGTCGTAAGCAAAGTGCAACTGGTCTCTCTTATGCTAATCAGCAGAAAGCCCATCACATAATTGGTCGCAGATGGAAGTCAGGTGCAGGCATCCAGTGATAATTTTTGTATTCTTTATTCATCACAGGTGTAAACATGAAAGGCAAATATGTCAGTGACAGCATTACAAATATTCCATATGATAGCATAATGGCTAATATGCAGTTCTTAAAATACTAGTTTCCGTACAGATACATATCACTAGAGATAGATATCCATCCATCCATCCATCGTCCGCCGCCAGGTCAAGGTCATGGAGGCAGCAGTCTGAGCAGACATGCTTACAGTTACAGACCTCCCTCTAACCCAGGCACCTCCTCCAGCTCCTCCAGAGAGATACTCAGACGCTTCCCGGCCAGCTGCGAGATATAATCTCTCCAGTGTGTCCAGGGTCTGCCCTGGGGCCTCCTCGCTGTTGGACATGCACCTCCCCAGAGAGGCATCCTAGACAGATGCCTGAACCACCTCAGCTGGCTCCGTTCGATGCAGAGGAGCAGCGGCTCTTCTTTGAGTCCCTCTGGAATGTCCGAGCCCCTAACCCTCTCTCTAGGGGTGACACCCTGCAAAGGAAGCTTATAGTCGCACCAGATGCTTTTTGGTGTTACTCCAGATTTTTACGGTGGCATTTTATTCCCTCAAGTTCATTTTTGCACACATTACAATAATCCCTTTTTGTGATTCCAGAATTAATTTCCAACAGTATGACAAGTGAGGCACAAGTCAACAGCTGTAGCTGTATTGGCAGAGACGCAGAAAGTAAATATTAAGACCTGGCATTTATTGATGTTCATAATTCTATCCATTTTTTTTTTAACCAAAGCACTAAAGCTCGGATCTTAATTAATTGGGTCAAACATTTGGCATTGTTTAGGAATCGGAGACTAAATGTAGTGTAACTTTTGAGGAGCAAAGCAGGGGAATGCAGCACTCCTTTTACTCATTTAGTACAACTGTCGCTCATCTGAATCTGGATTTGAACTGACACTCTAATTGGATTCATACACACAGAATAGAAGATACAGAAACTCAAGCCCACAAATATGCAGGTGCAGGTCCTAATGAACACATTGGACATTTAACAGACCATTATTCATTTAGAGGCTTTAGAGAGTTTAGGACAGAGTTCCCCCTTTTTGGTCTGGGGAGTCCAATTTGCATCACAGCTTGTAAAATGTGTCCGAGTGGGGAAATCTGCAGACTGTGATGGATTCTGACCCTCTGGGACCGCAATTGGCAAATCCTGGTTTAGGAGAATAGTAGAGGCTTAGAAGTCTAATTTTCAGTTTACCTAATTAATATGAACACACAATAAGACTGACACACAAGAATGGACAAATTATCTAAAACATTACATCCCTGTGTTATTCTGACCAGCTGCATGTCCAGGAGCAGAATGAAGGAAAAGCTTGAATACAACCAGGGAAACCACAGGCGCAGAGCTTTAAAGGTCTAAGGACACCACACTAAGCCATTAGCATGATCAGCTTTGTATGAAACTTAGCTGCAGTTTGGACAGTTTGGACAGTATGGATACTTTCAGTCAATGGGTGAAAGATGTTTGGTAGTGAAAAACATAAAGCAGTAAAAAAATACCTTTATAACTATAATTTTGTCCACTGCTATTTCCAAAAAGTCATAGCTGTATGTTTTGTATAATAATGTCCCAATTGAGACTATTAATTATTAGTCTACTGAGCTTCAAGCACATATAAAGGATTGAATTTGTCTTGGCACAAAAAAATAAGATGTTTGTCTATAAAAGTACCTATACACTCACCTAAAGGATTATTAGGAACACCATACTAATACGGTGTTTGACCCCCTTTCCCCTTCAGAACTGCCTTAATTCTACGTGGCACTGATTCAACAAGGTGCTGAAAGCATTCTTTAGAAATGATGGCCCATATTGATAGGATAGCATCTTGCAGTTGATGGAGATTTGTGGG